CTTTCTTCTACACAAATTCACAGCAGAACCCTTGTGGGAATATGCATAAACTTGATCCTTCACAATATTGTTTGCTTCAGGCACTTGGTCCTAATTTGCCTTAAAAGTCTCCTAAACAGATAATTACGAGCAGTTCGGTTAAATGCTTGGCCAACCAAGAGTGGGCGCTTGTTATTTTAGGAGAATGCGTGGGTGATACGGAAAGGAAGATCATCAGATGCTGTGGATTCGTATGCAGGAGAAAGAGTGCAGTGTGTTTGGGGACACATATGAGACTGGTTTTGGTTTAGATTAATGGGTAACATACTTGAACTATGCCACCTTTGACTACGTGCTGAAATGCTATAAGGAAAAGGCTTCAACAGGTGCCAGGGACAGGCTGGGCACAGAGGAGTGGTAGGAGGAACCAGTTGGGGAACCCCCAAGGGAAGAAGGCTCAGAGCCTGGGGAGTGGGGGTGAGACATCGATGAGTGGTCAGAGGGAGAAGACTGGGAAGAGAAGGTGTCGGAAGCTGGCACCCTTTAAGAACTCAGGAAGGGGGAACTTAAAGGTGACATTATCAATTACTCTGAGTAAACAGAAGCATATGTTGATGTGTCATGGACTGGGTAGACTCAGAGGAATGGTGGGAGGAACCAGCTGCGGAACCACCGAGGGAAGATTAAGTGGTCAGAGGGAGAAGACTGGGAGAAGGAGGTGATGGACGCTGAAGAGGCATCAGGGCTTAGGGACCAGAATCAGAGGCAGAAGCTGAAGCTGAAGCTGAAGGAGAAGAGGAGGCCAAGAAGCAGAGATGAGTCTACCTGGTGAAGAAACCAGGGTGTCTCCCACTCCTGCTGCAACAAGCTCCCTTCCCTACTGGTCTCCCGGGTCCAGAAGAGGTATGAAGAGAGGGAGGAGCAGAGACAGGAGTGCCGGCTGAGTCTCAGGTTGCTTGGGAAGCACCCGGGATAACCACAAGTCTTAGGCAGCTGTGGGAAGGCGGGGAGCTTCACTCCCCACAACTGGGGAGTGGGGCAAGACCTACTGGACAAGACACAACATGGGGCAAGACCTACTGGGAAGAGGTGCTGTGCTCTTTAGGCCTGGCATTACTGAGCAGTCTTGTTTCTTCTATTACAAAGTTAACTTCACTTACTCTGTGTAATTTATTGCTCACCTGACAACAGAACAGAAAGTATTATTGGGCCAGAGACAAGCAAGATTTGGGAGAGCTGAAGTTAGCATGATGAGAGTAGTTCAAAGATGGAGAACCTTCCTCCCCCCCCCCAAGGACACATTCCCTCAGGGGTTATACCTCTGGGGCTGTGTGCTGCAGCTGGTGGTCAGTGGTACCAAAGCCACATGATTCGCTTTCCACATGAATCACATTAGATCTAGGGGTGCATATGGTCCCTTGAGCCACAGGCTTCCTATCACTACCAAAGATCTAGGAGAAGATCTAGAGTCACACACAATGACTACCGTCACAGTCCTTACTGGCAATTTTTGTGAAGAATTAACCTGTTCCCCCACTCTCACATCCAGATGGTTTGCACCACAGAGATTTCCCAAGAAACAGAGCAATGCTACCATAGGAATCCATAGCTAATGGTGGCATTCCATTATTACCAGAAGTTCAGACTGCATCTTATTTGAGGCCCGGAGTGGCTAACTGGTGACTCTCCAGACAATGTTGGACTCCAACTTCAATCAGTCAGCACGGCCTATGATCAGGGATTACTGGTTGCAGCCTAACATCACCTGCAGGGCCACAGGTTAGTCCAGCCTTACCCAATGAACTGCTCTATATACCAGTAGATCTTTTTGGACTACAGCACCCATCATCCTTGACCACCGGTAATGCTGGCTGGGGCTGATGGGAACTGTTGTCCAAAACATCCAGAGGACACAAGGCTGGGGAACACTGGGTTAGCCTATATTCCAGATTTTGTTTATACCTGTGTGAATGACAATGTCATTATTACCCATGGTGTTAACATTCATTCCTTTGTTTGACCACCCCCTGGCTCAAACCGGTTGTAGATCACCTCCCATAAATATGTTACTATTTTCAGCTTAACACATTAGAATCTGAAAGACAAATAAACAAAAGCAACATACTCCAACTATACCCATTGGTTGCAGGATATGGTGTGACAGAATGTCGAGGCACTATAAAAACCTATCAGATCTATTTATCTAAAGGCAATCGTGGGATGGATGTGCACAGCATGGACAATAGCTACCAGTGCATTGTGAAAGCTCTTTCACAGCCTTTAAGATAGCCTTTAAGAGCAGTCCAGATGTTTTAGCCTACCTGCCTATCAGCCCTTCTAAACCCTTGCAAACATGGGGAAAGCAGTACGTGGGGGAAAGGGTTAGGGATGCAATCCTATACACTCCTGGGGAAAAGTCCCACTCAAATGAGACATACTTCTTAATAGCCATGGGTAAGATATCACTGCAAGCATTCCTCCCTGTCACTTTTCTGCTGCAAATCACGCCCTCCCCCAATTTTCACAAGTAGTTTCAATCAGAAGCAGCAACCAGTTGATTTTAATATATGCTTGCCTTTAGTGTGTCACAGCAAAACCAGTAAAAAATCCTATGTCAACTTGGTAGTCTGACGCCTTTATGATGGCAATAGGGTGGGTTTTTTGGGGGGTTTTTTGCAAATGATGCTGCTTCATCAGGTGCATGGGCAACTTTTCAAGGGGATCCTAACATGCTAATAAGCAAGGGATCACCCAATGTGAAGGTGCTTCCTTGAGATCTGGTGGGACACCTTAAAACTAAGTCCAAAATACTTCCATCCCTACAGCTCAACGTTCTGTTATGTGGCTGTCAAATGCATACATTTAACACTACAACAGTCACTTTACAAAATATTGAAATTTTATAATAAAGGTCAGTCTAAGCATTTGAGTGACGGAGACAGAAGATACCTAGACGCCATTCATGGGCATGCAGCACTGAAAGCTCTCCTACGTAAGTACCACTGAAGGGAACAGAAGCTTCGCAGGACCGCTGTTGCATTAATGAATGGGTCCTACCTGGGGCTCATAGATCAGATTTGGTTGTCTCCCGCTCTGCCACCAAAGGTTAGGGCCACTAGTAAGAGTCACCAGATTCCCTACACTGGCAAAGTCATGAGATCTCACTTCCAAGGAAGGGTATAGCAGAATACCAACACTAGCATTGCTAGAAGAAAACTCTGACATTAGAGAAAAAATTAGGGTACAATTCATTTCAGGGTACAACTCCATTTCAGCAACGCAGGACCGCATCCTTAGTACGTGGCACAACACACTGTATGTTGTGGAAGCTCAGCAGTGGAACACCTACTTCATACATAGAAGGTGCCCCTGGCATCTCAAGGTACGGCTGGGACAGACCCACCTTAAACCCTGGAGAGGCACTGCTAGTCAGCCAGCAACACTGAGCTAGATAATGACTTAGTGTAAGTCAGCTTCCCTATGTTCCTATATAGCACATTTAAGGGGTGATGGTTCTCAGGTCTCTTGTGTCACTGCCCATACTGGGGCCACAGGTACAGTACTGTACCTATTAAGCAGGTGCCATGAATCTGGGGGAAGCAAGGCTTCCATAGCCTCCAAACAAATTGCTACCTATAATGCCCTCTTGACACCTTATTCAAGAAAGCACCAATTCCCTGCTGACGACTGCTATGCTTTCTGAAGTGTAGATACGGGGAGGAGATGTATTGGTTACTAGGAAGAAGGAAGAGATGCAGTCAGTCAGTCAGGACACCTTCAAATCTCTGCCAAGCCACCAAGTTCATTGGGTGGGCAACGCAACGGGCAAGAGATGGCATTCCTGAGCATGTTTGCTTGGAAATAACAAGAGTCTGTGAAGGGACTGTCAAGTGCAGTTGCAATTGCTGCCTCTGTCTAATTTACTCTTGCATCGTGAGGGTGAAACGGGATCTATATTGCAATGCACCACGAGCCCCTGGAGAGTAAACGGAGTAATTTAACTGATATGCCAAACATCGCACAGGGGGAAAGAGGCAGAGCTTTTGGGCGAAAAGCATTTCAGTGCCAGAGTCGGAAAAGCTAAATGGCAGCACCACCACTAATGGACAATGTGGGTGGGGCACAATCCACTGGGACGGCTTTCCTGGGCAATACTCATCCAACCAATTTTTCTGCACCTTCCTCCCTTTTGCATTGAGCCTTCCTGGAAGGTTGTGGCACCTGGGTCAAAAACCTACCCTGGACGCCTCTTAAGTGGTACCCAAACCCACCCTGATACGCCTCGTGCCTGGGAGGGCCTTTGGAAAGACTCATCCCAGAAGATGTCCTTTTCGTTTTTGCAATGCCTGAGGCTGCAGCCCGTAAACCCCGCTGGGGACCGTGGTGGGCGGGTGCCATTCGATTCTAGAGGGATGCGAGGAGCTGTGTAGCAGAAGCAAGCGGGGGTGCCCTTGGCAAGGCGCTCTGGTCTTGTGGGAGGGATCCAGTGGCTGCTCCTTCTGCTGAGGCGTGGGCAGCCACGGGGAGGGAGGGATGAGCAGCCATCACTGCAGTGATATGGAGAATCTGATAACAATAACCACGAAGGGGAGGGGAAGGGATCAGCTGGCAACCCAGGCGCTGGTGGGAAACTCACTCAAGGAGTGGTGGAATGGTCTGGCCACTGTCATTCCTTATTCTTTACATCAAGGCTTTCTCCATCCATCTCCACGCCAAAGGCACCTAGGCCAGCAAGCTACGGGAAGGAAGACGGAGGCGGTGACTATCCTCTCCTTGTCACAGGGAAGCACACCTCCTGCCTCCGAGGGCGCCTGCCGCCGCTGCCAACCCCTTGGGGATGGGGGGTGGGGGTCTCATCCCGGCACCAGGTGAAAAGCAGCCCGGGCTGCAAAGGGGAGACCCCGCACTCCAGCCAGCGAGACCCCCTCCCCATTCTTCCAGACGGGGGCAGACGGCCCTTCCAGCCCAAGGCCCCTTCTTGCCCGCCTGGCTCGCCGCGGCGCTTCTCCGCCCCTCCTTACCGACAGTCCTGGAGCCGATGCAACCCATCCTTCCTCCGGCCCGCGGGGCTCCCTCGTCGGGGAGGGCGCGCAGGAGCAGGTGCAGCAGGCGGCGGGGGAAGCGGCCGCCGCAGCCTGGGCGCACCGAAGCAGAAGGCGGCGGCGGCGGCGGCGGGAGCGGGGCTGCGGAGCGGGGGCTCCGTCACGGCGAGTCCCCAGGGCGGCCCGCCGGGGGCCCCGCAGGGTTGCTCATCCCCGCGCCGAGGGGCGAAGGCGCGCGCGAGCCCGGCAGGCCGAGGCGCCCCGAGGGAGCCGCGCGAGACGCTTCCCCGACGAGCAGCCAGACCCGCCTCCTGCCCGCCCGCCCGCCGTCTCCCTCGCTCTCTGCCCGGCTCGGTGGAAGGAAGATGCTCCCGGGGCTCACGAGGGAGGGAGGCGAGGAGGGAGGAGGGCTCAGATTGGGTAAACAGCTCCCGAGCCCGGCGCGCCGCTGCCATTGGCTGAGCCGGAGCCGCGGCGGGAGGAAGGAGGGAGCGGGCGAGGAGCGCAAGGCGGCAAGGAGACGCGCGCTGCTGCTGCTGGGGGGGGGGCTGCCTGCCTGCCAGCCAGCTAGCAGCCGGCCTGGTACACGCCCTGCCATGCCGGGGGGGGGGGGCAGGTGGGTGGAGAGGAGAAGCTGCAAAGAGGCGTGTTGGCACGTTCACACGAGAAAGCAGAGCGGGTCTCCGCTCTTTACCAGGGGGCCATTTTGAGGCATGCCGCCGTACGAAGCGGCACCGAGGAGCAAACGGAGCGCGCGGGTGGGCGGAGAAAGCCAGCCAGCCGTGAGGGTTCACACGGGTTGTTGCGGCTAGACGACCCTGGAGGTCCCGTCCAACTCCACGGTGGCATCGTGGCGGGGGTTCAGACGAGACGCCAGGGTCGTCGCCTCGGGTCAAGGGTCGGGGAGGAGAGTCCAGCAGGCGTCGTAATCCGCACCTGTCCAGAAGCAGAGCCGCCGCTGGTCGGCTGCGGCTGCCAAGCCTGTCCGTGCTCCGCCTGGCTCCCGGGAGCGGGCACTGCGCACAGAAGGGCAGCCGGCGGAGAGCGGCTACGACTGCAGTCGTCTTCGGCCTTCGCCGGCGAGGAAGCCCACGCCTAACGCGAGTCGACGGGCGCAGGAGGGCGCTGCAGGAGAGGAACAGCGAGGCCCGTCGGGACAGAGGGCGCGAGAGGGATGGGCGAGGCCAGCTCCGGGGCATCGCAAGACCCATAGCAGCCAACTCCTAGGGGCCGAGGGACCCCCAATAAAATATTGGAGAGTAGGGGTGCCCACTTGGCCCCGCCCCCATAATCGATCACATGGCGGGGTGCACGCGCACTATTTGAATTGCAATGCCTATCAACTTGGGGGAGGGCAGCCTTATCATCAAATATCCCCCCCAGCTGACGGGCATTGCCATTCAAATAGTTGTGCGTGCATCGCACCAAACGATCGTGGGGCTTTACCTGCCTCCCCCCCCCCAATTATTTGATCCAAGTTGGCACTCCTGGCAAGCCCTCTTTGCCCCGGGCAGACGCAAAGTGCGCGGGGAGGGATAGCGAGCTGTGGCCGCTTTTTTTCTTTTGGTGGCTCTGCGCCTCCGACCCAGAAGGAGGCGCGTGCGCCGGAGCCTCCGCGCGTCCGCCGCCGGGAAGTGCAGCGGCGCCTCCGAGCGCGCACCACACCCGCAGTGGACGGCGCGGCATCCATCGCATTGTCTGCGGCGCGTGCGAGGGGGGTTCCTGCCCGTGCCAGACGGAGCGTCCGCGCGGAGGGCGGGAGGGAGTAGCGGGGCGCGGAGGAGGGGATCCCCGGCACGCGCTCGGGAGCCGGGAACCAGCAGGCAGATCTGACGGAGAGCTTGGAGGAGGGCGGCAGCCGGCCGGGACGGGGAGGGAGGAGCGAGCTACAGCCGGGACGACCAGAGCAGCTCCACGCTGTCGATCCGGTCCAAAGGAGCCCCTCCTCCGGCGACCTGATCTTCGGGGAACGCTCGGGAGACCTGCCGGCAGCCCTTAGCCCTCCACTTGGGTCGTTGGTGGGTGGGGGTGATGGGGCCTGCAGGCCTAATGCCAGAGAGACAGCAGCCCTGTTAGTCTCTTGCGGGGGGGGGGGTAGGCGAAAGAGGCACCCTGAAACACTGACAGATATATTGGGGCAGAGTCTTGCCTGGGCCAGAACCCACAGGTGCGCATGACTTCCCCACACAATGCCCTTTCACAGATCCCCCAGCAGGGTGGTGATTGCCCCAGACCATAGGCGCCAATTCCTTTGCCCCCCCCTACAATATTTGAGGGGGCTGCCTCCCCAAGTTAATGAGCATTGCTATCATGGTGTCCAATGGTGAGATAGCTGGGGAGAGACATCTGGTGAATGAAGGTCAACAAACCAAACATTTCGAAAGCTTGCAAATACAACTGTTATTGCTCTGCTAGCAGGCATGACCATGTTGAGCAATTGGACCCACAACTTGAGTGCGGACTTTGTTCTGTTTCCAATGGGATCCTTCCCCATTGAAAGCTCCTTGCTAGGAAGAAGTGTCCTAAGCTTATCTCCTTAACATGCCCGTTTCGTTTTAATATTTTTGTTCTGAAGGTGTACACTTAAGAACGAGTGGTACAGCCCAAATACTCTTTTAATCACAGCAATGAGAAAGGAGCCTGTTAAGTTCATCCTTCTCCCATTGCCAAACTGCAAAAAGCCGGCGTGGGGGCAGCACTGAACAGAGTTGTGGGGTATATGTGGCATAGGTAGCTCAGTAGCACAGCACATATTTGGACAGGTCTCGGGATCAATCCAGCCAACAACAAATCTGAGATTTTGTTGAGCCGCTGCCAGACGGGATAGACAGTCTTGGCTAGATGGACAAGTGAGTTCACCAATGTTCCTATAACACGAGCATAAGACGAGTTCTACTGGATCAGACCAAAGGCTCATCTAGTCCCGCATGCGAGCAAGACCTGAGCACCACAGCAAGCTTGCCACTCATTTTTTTCCTAGCTCCTGCAATTCTTAGTCTTCTACCCTCTGACACTAGAGTTGGTATACAACCATTGGGAAAAGTGCATGATCTTATGCACAGACACATTCTCAACCCTGGGCCACAGTTCCAGCTGATGTCATCTTTAATAATAATCAGGCATACTATTGCTGAACAATGATTTCTTTCCTATTTTTGAGCCAGTTCAGGTGTTACCTGAAGCCATAGCCAAAATTGTTATGTACTGAAGTTCTCACCCTGGGCCAGCAGGGGGATACTGTAGATAGTTCAGGTCCACATATGCAAATAAGGGATCGAAAGTGACGCTCAGTGATTGGATAGTTACAGAAAATGGTTACTGTTGCGTTCTAGTGGAGCTCTATATAAGCAGGCTGGCTGAACACTTCAGTTCTGTTCTGTTCTGGCCTGTGAATAAACAAGAGCTGTTTGAAGAATCACTGTGTCGTCTGATATGTTCACCCACAACTTAACAGAAATAGTGCCTGGTTTTTAAAAATCCTACTCTCAGTGAATTGTGCTGGGAGGAGCTCAGGGAGAAGAAACCACGGTGCATCTGCAACAGCACAACATCTGCCTCAGCTACAACAAAACATGTCTCTCCCACATCGGGAGATTGGTTCAGATTTCTTCTCTTGTTTATGGGACATTTAAAATTTCAGTTCATCCTTTCTTGTGCATCATGGTGAGAGGTTGCCACACTTGATGGCTGCCATTTGTGAAGTAGCTGCAAGATTTTGTCCCATGTACATATTGTGGAGACTGCACATCTGCTTCGAGGTCAAGGCAAGGTTCCAAATTTGTCATCACCTCCCAATTCGCCGGAATCCTGAGCAAGCAAGTTTGAAATTACCAGATGGTTGGATTGCCGCTAGAGGGCTGTGAAAATTTGTGTCCCGGGCTTTTTAGACTCATCTACCTATATACTGGGACGTGGGTGGCGCTGTGGGTTAAACCACTGAGCCTAGGACTTGCCGATCAGAAGGTCGGTGGTTCGAATCCCTGTGACAGGGTGAGCTCCCTGCCAACCTAGCAGTTTGAAAGCACATCAAAGGGCAAGTAGATAAATAGGTACCGCTCCGGTGGGAAGGTAAACGGCGTTTCCGTGCGCTGCTCTGGTTCGCCAGAAGCAGCTTAGTCATGCTGGCCACATAACCCGGAAGCTGTACGCCGGCTCCCTCGGCCAATAAAGCAAGATGAGCACCGCAACGCCAGAGTCGGCCACGATTGGACCTAATGGTCAGGGGTCCCTTTACCTTTACCTATATACTTTCTGAAAAGGGACGCGGGTGGCGCTGTGGGTAAAACCTCAGCGACTAGGACTTGCCGATCGCATGGTCGGCGTTTCGAATCCCCGCGGCGGGGTGCGCTCCCGTTGCTCGGTCCCAGCGCCTGGCAACCTAGCAGTTCGAAAGCACCCCCGGGTGCAAGTAGATAAATAGGGACCGCTTACTAGTGGGAAGGTAAATGGCGTTTCTGTGTGTTGCGCTGGCTCGCTGGCCAGCTTCGTCACACTGGCCACGTGACCCGGAAGTGTCTTCGGACAGCGCTGGCTCCCGGCCTATAGAGTGAGATGAGCGCACAACCATAGAGTCTGTCAAGACTGGCCCGTACCGGCAGGGGTACCTTTACCTTTACCTATATACTTTCTGAAACCCAAGGTTGCCAGATATGAACTCCCCCCCCCCAACTCTCCTACCTCACAACTATCACTACATGCAGGGCACAGTTGCATTGAACCATCCAACCTCAGCCCTGGGACTAGGCACAAGACTAGATAAATATGTTGTGTCAAGTTCAAGAGCCAACTGTGATTCTTCAATAGGCACTAAAGGCTAGGAGGTGCTTGCTCAATGTCATTTGAGGGCTGGTGGCTACTAACTGTTTCACACACAACATTCAGGACCAGGGCAGATGATGGAGACTCTTTGGCAGTTCAAATGCCCATGTCGTTTCGTGTATTCGCTTCTTTCGTTTGTATCCTGTCGTTCCACCGAACAGTGCTGAGATGCTGGTTGCTTTTAGGGGCACTGGTGTGGTTTTAAAGCTAGCGTTGTGTCTGGATGCTTACCTGTGCCAATGCTCACCTTGTATATTTGTAAGGAACCCGATGGAGCTGGGCCATGGGC